CTGCAAACGGATGGCAGAGTATGCTGACTCTGCCGGCCTGAGTGTTCAGTTGTTGCGTCGCTTGTCTGTCCCGCGTCGACAAGGCTCCAAATGGTTGCAGTCCGAGAACCCGTTGCTCCTCTGCGATGCTGCCGCCGTTTTCTGGAAAGAACACTCGGAGCGCAATTGGCTCAACAGCATGCTGGCCGCGATCGAGGTGAACAAAGAGCTGCGAGACTACACAGAGGGTTCTTTTGAGATAGGGCACTTATAAGTGGTTATAAGTCACTTACGCAGCACTTAGCATAAAAAGTTATAAGTCAGTTAAGAGCAACTTGCAAGTTAGTTACAAGCTGGATATATCTATTTATATCCTGTTATATGTTTTAGTATGCGCCGGCTATCTTTTTGTATCTTTTTTACTTGTTTTTTGTTAGTGCGAATGTTGCTTCCTATTTGCATTTTATGTAAGCGGCTGGCAGACATTGTGTCGCAAGGTAGATTGAAGCTTTCACTATATGTCTGTTTTGGGTTAGCAAAACTTATAGGACTTACTAACCTATGTACCAGTAGGTTCTAAGTCCTGCCCAAGCTACCTAAGAGTGACCTGAGTCTGTGGAAGTTGTGAAGAGGTTAAGAAATGTTACATAAGAAATGTTACATAAGTTGCTAAGTTATGTTAACTTTTTCTCAGTATTTCCTAGCTTATCAAACTTTTCCTAACATTTTCCAAACATTTTGGTGTTTTCTATTTTCATATGTTTGAAGAGAAAGCATAGAAGCTTCGTTTCTTTCGTTTGGCATCGATCTCAGGCATAGAAGCTTCGTTTCTTTCGTTTGGCATCGATCGCAATACGTCTGTCAGATATGGCATAGAAGCTTCGTTTCTTTCGTTTGGCATCGATCGCAATATGTCTGTCAGATATGGCATAGAAGCTTCGTTTCTTTCGTTTGGCATCGTTCGCCGAAGCTTTGGCGATTCAGTTTACTTCGTTCGTTTGAGGAATAGTGGTTTCTAGGGCTTTGGGTTTGGGATGTAGGTCTGGGGTTTAGGATTTAGGGTTGGGGGGGTGAGGGTTGATGGAGAGTTGAGGATATATAGGGTTTACGGTTACGAATTCAGGGTTTAGGATTTAAGGTTTAGGGTTGACTGGAGTGAGGCTCACAGCCCCAGCTCAGCCCTCAACCCTAACCCACCCTATCAAGAGGATAGCACTTTTAACCCCATCAACCCCGAACACCCAGAGAAGCCTCAACCCCCAACCCTCCATCCCTCAACCCCCTACCCCCCATCAACCCCCAACCCTACGAGCCAAAGTTTAGGGTTTCGGGTTTGAGGGTTTCAGGCCTCATTGTGCCCACTCTACCCTGCAAAAATATAAGGTTAAGGCCGAAACCCTAAGCCTAAACCCTGAACCCTAAACCCTAAATCCTCAACCCTAAACCCCAAGCCCTAAGCCCTAAACCCCCTAAACCCTCTAAACCCTAAGCCCTAAAACCCTAAACCCTAAATTTGGTGGCAGCGAAACCAAGAACAGCTGCAAGTTAAATTCAACTTATTATTTAACTTGCAGCTGTTTTCGGCTTCGGGGCCACCAAAAAATGTTGGGGACAATGCCTGCGGGTGGGAATCAACGTTATAAAACCTATATTTGAGACGATTTAGAAGTTGAAGGACGACCCCATACGACATCTACTGCAAGCTTAATAAACCCTAAACCCTAAACCCTAGACCCCAAAACCCTCAATCAAGCCCGACGACTCGAAATCCCAAACCGCGAAAAAATCAGAAAATTCGGATTTTTTCTGAAGTTTTCGTGGTCCTAGTACTAAATGCAAGAGGAAAAAATTCAGAAACTTCGGATTTTCTGAGTATTCTGAATTCTGAATGGGTTGATTTTCTTACGAGAAATATATGCATCTGAGGATGGTTGAGCTTTAAGTATATTGAACCTATGGATACAAAAGAGGTTTAAGTAAATTGCAGAAATATAAAAGGAGAAAGAGTTCGGGACAAACCAAAGGGACATCAACTTCACTGGTGCAGTTATAGCGCAGCACAACATTCGTTTCTTTGTTTCTGGTCTGCCCCTTCCTCAGAAAAGCTAACTTTTTCACACTTGATGGATTTTGCTGGTCCGCGACTTTGATCCTAAACCCTAAGCCCTCTGCTGAGCGATTTTGATCCGATGGATTTTGCTGCTGAGCGATTTTGATCCTACACCCCCTAAACCCTATGCTGAGCGATGCTGAGCCGATGGATTTTCCTGCTAAGCGATGTTGAGTCGATGGATTTTGCTGCTCCGCGACTTTGATCCTAAACCCTAAACCCTCTGCTGAGCGAATTTGATCCGATGGATCTTGCCGCTGAGCGATTGTGAGCCTGAACCCTAAACCCTCTGCTGAGCGATTTTGATCCAAGGGATTTGTGCCAAGCAGATCTCAGGAGCCAAGTCACTGCCCAAGCGGGCTGCAGTACCGAGGGTTTATAGGGTCGACAGGTCAATGGGATGCAGGAAGGCCTCTCTGCGGACGACACTTCTGGAGCCCAAGCAAGCCCAAGCAAGCCCGGGCTGCAGCAGGGGCTGCTTCTCAGGCCCACCTCCCCCCACCCGCGGCTTGCTTGGGCTTGCTTGGGCTCCAGAAGTGTCGTCCGCAGAGAGGCCTTCCTGCATCCCATTGACCTGTCGACCCTAAACACTCGGCACTGAAGCCCGCTTGGGCAGTGACTTGGCTCCTGAGATCTGCTTGGCACAAATCCCTTGGATCAAAATCGCTCAGCAGAGGGTTTAGGGTTCAGGCTCACAATCGCTCAGCAGCAAGATCCATCGGATCAAATTCGCTCAGCAGAGGGTTTAGGGTTTAGGATCAAAGTCGCGGAGCAGCAAAATCCATCGACTCAACATAGCTTAGCAGGAAAATCCATCGGCTCAGCATCGCTCAGCATAGGGTTTAGGGGGTGTAGGATCAAAATCGCTCAGCAGCAAAATCCATCGGATCAAAATCGCTCAGCAGAGGCCTTAGGGTTTAGGATCAAAGTCGCGGACCAGCAAAATCCATCAAGTTTGAAAAAGTTAGCTTTTCTGAGGAAGGGGCAGACCAGAAACAAAGAAACGAATTTTGTGCTGCGCTATAACTGCACCAGTGAAGTTGATGTCCCTTTGGTTTGTCCCGAACTCTTTCTCCTTTTATATTTCTGCAATTTACTTAAACCTCTTTTGTATCCATAGGTTCAATATACTTAAAGCTCCAAACCATCCTCAGATGCATATATTTCTCGTAAGAAAATCAACCCATTCAGAATTCAGAATACTCAGAAAATCCGAAGTTTCTGAATTTTTTCCTCTTGCATTTAGTACTAGGACCACGAAAATTTCAGAAAAATTCCGAATTCTCTGATTTTTTCGCGGTTTGGGATTTCGAGTCGTCGGGCTTGATTGAGGGTTTTGGGGTCTAGGCAGTAGATGTCGTATGGGGTCGTCCTTCAACTTCTAAATCGTCTCAAATATAGGTTTTATAACGTTGATTCCCACCCGCAGGCACTGTCCCCAACATTTTTTGGTGGCCCCGAAACCAAAAACAGCTGCAAGTTAAATAAAAGTTGAATTTAACTTGCAGCTGTTTTTGGTTTCGCTGCCACCAAATTTAGGGTTTAGGGTTTTAGGGCTTAGGGTTTAGAGGGTTTAGGGGGTTTAGGGCTTAGGGCTTGGGGTTTAGGGTTGAGGATTTAGGGTTTAGGGTTCAGGGTTTAGGCTTAGGGTTTCGGCCTTAACCTTATATTTTTGCAGGGTAGAGTGGGCACAATGAGGCCTGAAACCCTCAAACCCGAAACCCTAAACTTTGGCTCGTAGGGTTGGGGGTTGATGGGGGGTAGGGGGTTGAGGGATGGAGGGTTGGGGGTTGAGGCTTCTCTGGGTGTTCGGGGTTGATGGGGTTAAAAGTGCTATCCTCTTGATAGGGTGGGTTAGGGTTGAGGGCTGAGCTGGGGCTGTGAGCCTCACTCCAGTCAACCCTAAACCTTAAATCCTAAACCCTGAGTTCGTAACCGTAAACCCTATATATCCTCAACTCTCCATCAACCCTCACCCCCCAACCCTAAATCCTAAACCCCAGACCTACATCCCAAACCCCAAACCCTGGAAACCACTAGTCCTCAAACGAACGAAGTAAACTGAATCGCCAAAGCTTCGGCGAACGATGCCAAACGAAAGAAACGAAGCTTCTATGCCATATCTGACAGACATATTCCGATCGATGCCAAACGAAAGAAACGAAGCTTCTATGCCATATCTGACAGACATATTGAGATCGATGCCAAACGAAAGAAACGAAGCTTCCAGGCTATATCTTCAAACATATGAAAAAAAATATATATATATATAAACACCAAATTGTTAGGAAACTGTTAGGAAAAGTTAGATAAGCTAGGCAAAACTGAGAAAAGTTAGCATAACTTAGCAACTTATGTAACATTTCTTAACCTCTTCACAACTTCCACAGACTTAGGTCACTCTTAGGTAGCTTAGGCAGGACTTAGACCCTACTTGTACATAGGTTAGTAAGTCCTATAAGTCCTGCTAACCCAAAACAGACGTATTAGTTGGTCTTCACGCCTGTTTTGCGCACCTTGGCAGTGGACTTGGAGTAAGCCGAGGAGGCTTTCTCCCGGGAAAGAAAAAAGGCAGCCAGGCATGTGCATGATGATTTCTTGGCCTGCCCCCCCCCCCCGCCCCGGTTCAGTTTCGTGTTGTTGTTGAAAATGACAAGGTCTAGACATGTATATACAACAACTTCCTGCTGTTCCCGTCTGCTTCAAGAACACATTTCCTGCATGCTGCTCATACTGCTTCTTGCTTCATTTTTGCTGAAAACCTAAGTGCCGGCTATCTTTTCCTATCCTTTTTTTAGTCATTTAGAACTGACTTATAACCATTTATAACTGTTTACTATCTTCCTTCCGTACTTATAAGTACCTTGTGTATCTCATCTTGGAGATACGAAAAGATACATAAGTCCCGTAAATGAGGTATATGTGGATGCAAGTTCGAACCAAACTTATAAATCCTTGTGCCTGAGTTAAATGAGTTACAAGTGCATTCAGACCACTTATAACCTGCCTTATAAAGTACATATAACTGACCTATCTCAAAACAACCCTCTGTGTATGTGGGTAGGTGGCACATCTCCTCATCCGATGAGTACTTACGGACAGCTCAACAGGTTGTGGTTGGTCTGCAAGAAAAGCTGGTTAATTACTTCTGTGGTCCCGATCGATGGGATCTTCGCAATGCTGGTCTGGATGAGCTTGAGTCTCACCTGCGTGCTCGCGGGGTTGATTCCGGCCTAATCAAGCGTCAGCGCTCTAATTTGAACTTGCCTGAAAGATGGTGTTTGCGTGTGCCCGAGCCACTCGACCCTGCCCCTGCAGTGTCTCTGGAGGTTGCTGAGGAAGTCGATGATGCAGAATCGCAAAGCCCGTATTTTGTCACCGTCGTGGGCAACAAGCGGCTACGCAGGCTCCATCGCCGCGGGGGATGCGGCGTGTCGGTGCTGGAAGTGCAAGAGTCGGAGCCCGTTTGGCATTTGAAGGGGCTCATGTACAATTTGGCCTGTCAGCATTGTTGGCGCCCTGGGGAATCCACCGTTTCGGAAGCCGAGGAAGCAGACGACTCGGGCAGTGCAAGTGACAGTGAAGACTAAACTGCCGGTGCTGCTCCAACGAGCAGGGATTGTGTAGGGCCTAGGGTAGGTTCGATAGGTCCCATGTGCGGCGCTGCCTGTACGAATAGTAGGGCATGCGTCTTTTGTCGCGCCTGCACGATGTTTTTTCTTGCATTTTAGAGCGCGGGTGTGCGCCTCTAGTGTCTGCAGCGTAAGTCTTCGCTGCGTGCATGTCGCGAGGATTCGCGGGAGTTGGCGGATGCCAACGCTTATTGCTTGCAGAAGTGTCTGTGGCTCCAAGTGTTCATCGCGTTTCCTTTCTTGTGCTAGGGTCGTCTAGTGCTTGCAGCATGACGGTAGATGTGCTCGCTTCGGCAGATGCGGATCTTCGCTTCCAGATGGAGGAAGCAGGCGTCAGCGCGGACGTGCAGAAGGCAATCTATGCAGAAGGCTTCACTTCCGTGCGCGTCTTCGCTGGATTGGAAGAGTCCCTCGAGGGTGTGCGGGCGGCGCTGAAGTCCTCCTTCAAGCTCGACAGCAACGAGAGCCCTGCCATGCGCAAGGAGATCGCCCTCTTGCTGGCTGTTTGGGAAGGGGCTCGCTCTCAGCTGACGTACCAGGCAAAGAACAAAGAAGAGGCAAAACAAGGGACACAAAATCGGCTCATGCAGTCCTCCGAATACAGTGCGATGCGCACCAGGGTCGAGCAAGTCTTGAATCGTACTCTCAAGGATCGCGAGGCTCCGAGCAAGGCCTTGGTTGCCTCCAAGCTCGAGCAACTTGAGGACGGCGTCCCCAAGGCCGAAGATCTTAGGGATGTGACGTCTTACGAGGACGTGGAGGGGGAGGCCTACAGCGCCATTATCGACCCTGCCACAGCCATGCTGCGCATCAAGCCCGGTCGCGCGTCTACAATACCCCCAGGGTCACCAGAAGGGCTTCGTCTTCGCCATCGTCGCATCGGCTTGGCGTGGGATTTCGTGAAGACGCGGCATTCCACCCGAGCTTGGGTTCCTGACAATTGTGTGGATTGCTTCCGTGTGCTCTCGGACCATGTTTTAGGCTCGGCAGTAGCCGGACTTCGGAGTGCTTCAGGCCAAGGCCCCACCTGGTCCTTGGTGTTGAGCTATGAGCAAGAGCTTCGCAAAGCCGCGTATCGCTACATTCGTGACGGTCAGTGCAAAGACTTGCGCGCTGCTCTTGAGAAGGCGTGTGATGCCCCGGAGGTTTTGACCACACACTTTATCGTCCCGTTCACCTTGGGCAAGGCCGAGGATCCTGTGGATATGCCCGACTTGACAAAGGTGCCTTGGCTGCATCATGGGAAAGGTGGCAAGGGCAAAGGCGGCGGCAAAGCTCCGGATTGGGGGCGGCAATGGGGGAAGTCTAACAAGACTCCTGATGGCAGGGCTCTATGCTTCAAGTTCAACAAGGAATCGGGTTGCAACGATCCTTCCTGCCGTTTCGCGCATGTGTGCTGGCGCTGCTTTGGGAAGCATTCTTTCCAGAAGTGCAAGTTCCGTAAAGCTCCCCCGAACACGGGGACTGCCCAAGTTGACTGAATGCAAGTTTCTTCCTCTTCTGGCCCGCTGCTGCCTGAAGGGGGGTCGGTTGCGCAGCGTGCAGTTGCTGATCCTGGCAAGCGAAAGTCTGTGGCCACTGCAGATGAGGCGGCGTCTGGTGATGAAGAGGAACTTTGGAACAATATCTTTCCCAGCCGTGCTTACTCTGGCCTAGAGTATGAAGAAGGAGGCGACGGTATTCGCATCGCTGGTTTGCGAGGGACAGGGCCACCGCTGTACTGTCGTATGGGTGGTGCACGGAAGCCTTTCACCGATGGTTGCGGTCTGTGCTCCCCTGGTCGATGGCCTCCCTCTGCCAGGCAGGATGCTTACGAGAATGTGAAGTTGTCCTTCCATCAGCGCCTTGCGACAAAGTTGCATAACTTTGTGGGCGCAAAGCTCAATGTGCGTGACTTGGCGTTTAAGCTTGCTGCAGGTGTTGTCAAGGAGGCCCCCTTCAGTGACGAAATGCTGGAGGAAGGCAGAAGCATCATCTGGAAGGAGCTTCGTGATGCGGGATGCCAGCTACCTGTAGAGGAGAAGAGCCCTGGTCAGCCCTTCTACCTCGCGGCCATCGAGGAACTGCTACGGCTGGCTGGGGATCCAGATTCTGCTGCGTTTTACACAAGTCAAGACTCCTTTGCGAAAGGAGTGCGCCTAGGGGTCGGTGTGGAGCTGCCACGCGTGCCTGCTGTTTTCACTGCCAAGGAACGATGGAGGACCTACCCAGATGGTCCTGACGGGACGGTGCTTCGGGACAACTATGTATCCGCTAAAGAACATGCAGCAGAAGTGCAAAAACAGTTGGAGATCGAAGCGGAGCTTGGTGCCATGTACGAGACGGACTTGGAGGCTGCGTGCAGGGAGCTCGGCGAAGTGTCAGTCGCCTCGCTTGGAGCCATCGAGAAGAAAGATGGATCCTACAGGGTGACCCATGACGCAACGCATGGCCTGTCTGTCAACAGTGTGATAAAGGTTCGGGATCAGATGCGCTGCCCTGGGGCCGGAGACCTTCGGCGAGCTTTGCAGACTTTGCCTACAGCGTTCTTCGCCCTCTCAGGGGATGTGGCGCGTGCCCATCGCCTCGTAAAGATTGCAAAGCGTGACTGGAAGCATCTTTGCTGTCGCACTGGCACCAAGAGAGATGACGTAATATGGGTGAACTGCGTGGGTACCTTTGGTGTCTCGTCAGCTGCGTACCACTGGTGTCGTCTGATGTCAGGACTTGGGCGCTCTGCGTTCTTCTTGTTCGGCAAGTTCGGCTGGATGCAACTGGTTTACGTCGACGATCTTCTCTGGCTCGTCGGCGACAAAGGCGGCATTGAAAAGCTGATCACAGTGATCTTTTACTACTCAGCACTGGGGTTGCCGTTTGCTTGGAAAAAGTTTTCGGGTGGCCTCGTGTGCAAGTGGGTCGGTTTCGAGTTGACACTGGCTGAGAGAGCCTTAGGACTCACTGAGCGAAGGGCAAAATGGATAATCTCCTGGGTGTCGCATACTGTGGATGCTGGTGCAGTTCGAATGGCAGATTTTCGCGCAGTGCTCGGCAGGCTTTCGTTTGCGTTCACTGTACTTCCCAACTTCCGACCGCTCTTGGGACCGCTGTATGCCTGGAGTGCAGCAATGGGATCCTTCCACAGTCTTCCCTTGCCAAAGCTGGTGGTCGTGCTCTTGAACTTCTTGAAGGCTTCGCTAGAAAGACTTGGGAGAAATGCGGCAGTCGCCGACCACTGTGATGCAGAAAGAGAGCTCTTTCGGACGGATGCCCGGGCCGAAGGCGACGAGGTGTGGATCGGGGGCTTCGCGTTAGACAATGGCACGTTGTCAGAGTGCCGCTGGTTTGCAGAGCGCATCTCGCACAACACAGGCAAATGGCTCTTTCTGGCCGGAGAGTCCTATCGTGCCATTGCATCTTTGGAGCTTCTCGCGACCTTGACAGCAGTAGTACTCTTTGGCGTTCCAGGGGGTCAACATCTTGGCTGTGCTTGCTCAGCTAGCACCGACAATCGCGGCAACGCCTTTGCCGTCTCAAAGTTGATGACGACGAAATTTCCCCTATGTGCCTTTTTATTGGAACTCGCCATGCAGCTTCAGATGAAGTCGTCAGAGCTGCAGTTGAGATGGCTTCCCAGGCTCCAGAATGTCGAAGCAGACCGGCTCACTAATGGTGATTTCACCGGCTTCAGCGATCATAAGCGGTTGCGGTTTTCGGTGGATGAGTTTAGTGGCATTTTGCTTTCGGACATGCTTGACTTGGGCTCCGATCTCTATGGCTCGATCAGGGAGGCCAAGACGAAGGGCAAGCTGCGGATTCCTAAGACGCGCAGAGAAGACACGCTCAAATGCAGAGATCCTTGGATGTAGGTGCTCAGGACTGTTCAGACCGCTGCTTCTTGGGTTTTGGCTGCTGCTTGCTCTTCGAGAGTGGCAGTGGTTTGCAGCAGCAGCTGTGTCGATTTATCAGCATCGGAGCTGATGTCATCTTGTTTCAGAGTTCCTGAGCTCTGTGCGATCCACCGATGGAAAAGAGCGGGAGTCCTCTGCAAGGGTGCCTCTTCGGTTTGCCGGGTTTGGTCCTGGGGGGCTTGGTTGGTTTTGCGGGCTTCGTTTTCTTTGCTGCACGGTAGGATCCCGAAAACCACGGTATTTACAGCGGTTTCTGTGTTTTCCAAGCTCTCAGCCGCATCCGAAACCCGAGACCCAACCCGCTGATGCTCATGATGCGCGCTCTTGTGGGGGTCCTTTGGGGTGGCCGATGCCACCCAAAAAACATCAACAACGCGTATTTGGCCAAAGTTGAAAAAGAGAGTCGATGATGCTCTCCGGGGTCGTTTTTGGGACCCCCCCATGGGGCGCCCAAAAAATGCGTCCAGGAGCCCAAATTCGGTGGGAAATAGCGCGTTTCTCGCGATAAAAATGTACCTGAAACATGATGCCCTTCGGAAGCCGCATTTGGAGCCGGATGTTGGGGAGCCAACCGGGTCGGCGGCATATGCGCCCCCCCGGGGTAGCTAAAGCTAGGGCTGGCGCCTAACGGCGTCGGACCACGGGCGTGCCCGGATTTAGGAGCCTCCGGCTCAGGCCGCCGACCCAAGAGGCCCGAAACCTCTCAACCCTCAAAGACGGAAATTGTTGTTACCCGAAAGCCAACTCTACACCTAAACCAGGGTTCGGGGGTTTGAGAACGTGTTGTGGGAATGGGGGGGTAGAGGCTTCGAACTGTTGGAGTGGTTGGCGTAAGGTGCAACGTGGCGGGTGCGGCAAAAAGGGGGGAGGGGGTGGGGGGGTGGAGGGGTGGTTGGAGTGGGGGGGGTGGGGGGGGTGGGGGGTGTGGTCGGCGGACCGGAAACCCTAAACCCGAACCCAAAGCCCTAAACTCTAAACCCTAAATCCTAAACCCTAAACCCTAAACCCGAAACCCGAAACCCTAAACCCCCGCCAGGCCTTACACCGCCGGCGCGCGAGGCGCCCGAGGAT